CGCGCGCGCTGCCCCGCGCCGGAGCGGCGCTGAGCGCCGGCGAGCCGCCCGCCGCCGCCGCCGCGATGGTGCAGCAGACCAACACGGCGGAGAACACGGAGGCGCTGCTGGCCGCCGCCGAGACCTCCGACTCCGGGGCCGGCATCGAGCTGGGCATCGCCTCCTCGCCCACGCCGGGCTCCACCGCCTCGACGGGCGGCAAGGCGGACGACCCGAGCTGGTGCAAGACGCCCAGCGGGCACATCAAGCGGCCCATGAACGCCTTCATGGTGTGGTCGCAGATCGAGCGGCGCAAGATCATGGAGCAGTCGCCCGACATGCACAACGCCGAGATCTCCAAGCGCCTCGGCAAGCGCTGGAAGCTGCTCAAGGACAGCGACAAGATCCCCTTCATCCGGGAGGCGGAGCGGCTGCGCCTCAAGCACATGGCGGACTACCCCGACTACAAGTACCGGCCCAGGAAGAAGGTGAAGTCGGGCAACAGCTCCGCCAAGCCCGGCGACAAGGCGGACAAGGCCGGCGGGGGCGGCACCGGCGGCGGCGGCGCGGGCGGCAGCCCCGCGGCGCCCTCCAAGCCCGCCCCGAAGAAGGGCGGCGGCGGCGGCCCCAAGCCCTCCCCCGCGGGCGCGGGCGGCGGCGCGGGCGGCCCCAAGGCGCACGGCAAGGCCGCGGGGGGCAAGGCCGCCCCCTTCCCCGGCGAGCCGCCCGCCGCCCTGCTGCCCCCCGACCACCACGGCCTCTACAAGGCGCGCGGCGCGGCCGCGCCGTCGGCGCCCGGCAAGGCGCTGCCCGAGAAGAAGCTCAAGCGCGTCTACATCTTCGGCGGCGGCGGCGGGCAGGCGGCGGCCGCCTCGGCCTCCCCCGGCGGCGCCGTGCCCGGCAGCCCCACGCTGAGCAGCTCGGCGGAGGCCGGCGACCCGCTGAGCCTCTACGAGGAGGGCGGCGGCGGCGCCGGCTGCCGGCCCGACGGGGACTGCGGCGGCGCCTGCCCCTCGCCGCCCGCCTCCGCCTCGCCCTCGGACCACCGCAGCTACACGAGCCTGCGGGCCGCCTCGCCGGCGCCCTCGACGGCGCACTCGTCCTCCGCCTCCTCGCACTCCTCCGCGTCCTCCTCCTCCGGCTCCTCCTCGTCGGACGACGAGTTTGAAGACGACCTCTTGGACCTGAACCCCAGCCCCGGCTTTGAGAGCATGTCCCTGGGCAGCTTCAGCTCCTCCGTGCTCGACCGGGACCTGGATTTTAACTTCGAGCCCGGCTCGGGCTCGCACTTTGAGTTCCCGGACTACTGCACGCCGGAGGTAAGTGAGATGATCTCGGGCGACTGGCTGGAGTCGAGCATTTCCAACCTGGTCTTCACTTACTGAGGCGAGCGGCGGGCAGAGCCCGAGGAGGCATCGACGCGTTGTTGGGAGGACTCGCCCCCCCCGCGGCCCGCCGGGCCCTTTCGCGCCCCCCCGGCCCGTCTCGCAGAGGGGGCCGCTCAGACTGCCGCGCTCCGGGGGGCACCTTGGCCGCGACCCCCCCCCCCCGCGCCCCGCCGGGCGCGGGCCGGCACCCCCGGGCGACGAGCCCCGCGCCGGCGCCTTGCGGAGACTGGCGGGAGCGAGCGGAGCGCTGCCTTTGCTTTTGTATTTTATTAGGATCTTTTGGGTTTTTTTCCTTGCTTTCCTGAAAAGACAAGGGGGCGGGGGGAGGGGCGAGGGGGGAACCACATACACCTCTGGGTGCTTTGTTATAGCCCGCTTGATACGAAGGAGGAGAGGAGGGGTGCTGAGCATTTGTGCTGGGCGGACTGGATGTGTCGAGTGTTTCACCCTTTCCTGGGAGATCAGAACTGCCTGAAAAAAAAAAAAATCCCACCCCCCCCACACCAGCCAAGCCTTTGCGAGGTTCAGCGTTTCGGGGGAGGAATCCCGCCCCGTGGCTGCTTCCTGCGGGGAGAGGAGGCGAACAGGATGATGATGATGATGATGATGATGATGGGAGGAGGAAAGGGCGGATGGACCTGGGAGCTGAACTGAGATCCCGGCGGAGCGGAGGAGAGCGCGACTTACCCACGGAAAGCCCGGCTTGAGCACGGGAGCCGTCTCGGAATTGCCACGGGAGGGGAGAGCGAAATAAACGGGACTGGATTTGCACGTGCGGGCGAGGCGGCGGCAGCGCTTTTCCCGGGCGCCTTCTGTCATGTGCACGGAGAAAAAAGAGACTTGAAGAACACTGCAAACGCCTTGGGGAACCGGCGCAGAACCAGAACAGTGTCTGTAGCGATGTGGTACAGGGGAAGCGGAGGGCGATGCTTTTGGAAAAAAAAAAAAAAAAAAAACGAAAAGACAAAAAAAAAAGTAGATTTTTTCTTCTTACTCAGAATCGTGATGGTGTTGGAATATTTCACTGGTGGGGTTTAATATAGCATGTTATCCTGTCTATCTTTTTAAGATTTCTGTAAGACTGTTGAACAGTTAAAAAAAATAGTGTTAGGATAATATAAAAGCAGATAGATGGCGCTATGTTTGATTCCTACAAAAATATCACCAGCTTTTTTTCATTCTTAACTCTTTAAAGGATTCAAACGCAACTCAAATCTGTGCTGGACTTTTAAAAAATTCAGGACCAAATTTTTTCTCAGAGTATGTATGTGTTTGTTCCTTAGAGCTGTAAATGAAAAGACTGTTTTTTCTCACCGATGCTCCATCCTCGTTTTTTTTTTTTTTTTTTTTTTTTTCCCTCTTGTAAATGTAATCGGATGCCATTTTATAAGTGGACGTATTTATACTGGCCAAACATTTTTTGACTTGTATTTCTTTGTCCTTTTTTGGTAGTTCTCGTTGTTACCCGCACCATTTTTATGTCTCCTTCACTGAAGGGCTAGAGTTTTAACTTTTAATTTTTTATATTTAAATGTAGACTTTTGACACTTTTAAGAAAAAAAAAGAAAAAAAAAACAAAAAAAAAAGAGAAGAGAGATGAAAACGTTTGATTATTTTCTCAGTGTATTTTTGTAAAAAATATATAAAGGGGGTGTAAATCGGTGTAAATCGCTGTTTGGATTTCCTGATTCTACCACCAGGGCCGCTGGTTAGTATCTCACACGCGTGTGCACGCACTCGCACTCACACTCACCCGAATCAGCCCCTATTTTGTCCATGTTTACACTCCAATCTGCAGGCATCTTAAAGTGACAGCATCCCTGGGCCGGGGCCCGCTGGGCAGCCCCGGGGGGGCAGCCCCGGGGCACAGGGGGTGGGCAAGGGGAAGGCGTGTGTACACTGTATGCTACCGTTTTGGGGAGAAACGCAGCCCGAAATGAAGTAAAAGCGACTTGGTGCATTTACACAGAAGGGATCCTGTACCTTTAACTTGTAAACCACATCTTTTGCACTTTTTTTATGAGCAGAAAAAAGAAAAAAAAAAAAAAAAAAGACGTGCCGTTTAAACCACTGGATCTATCTAAATGCCGGTTTGAGTTCGCGACACTATGTACTGCGTTTTTCATTCTTGTATTTGACTATTTAATCCTTTCTACTTGTCGCTAAATATAATTGTTTTAGTCTCTTATGGCATGATGATAGCATATGTATTCAGGTTTATAGCTGTTGTGTTTAAGATGAAGAAAGTGAAAACATCTTTGTACATTTAAGTCTGTATTATAATAAGCAAAAAGAAGATTGTGTGTTTATGTATGTTAATATAACATGACAGGCACTAGGACGTCTGCCTAATGAGGTGGTTCCGTTAAGGGTTTAACTTTTTTATTTGTTATTTTTTGTTATTTTTTGATCATCCATCCTGTGCAATATGCTGTGTAGAATTTTTTTTTTTTTTTTTTTTTTTTGGTCGGTCTAACGATCACCCCACAACGCAACGTTGGGAAAGAAGAAGAAAAAGAAGAAATCATGCCAGCTAACCATGTCTCGAGTTCACTGCCTGTCAGATTGTTGATATACCTTCTGTAAATAACCTCTTCTTTTTTTCTTTCTTTCATTTTTTTCTTTTTTTTTTTTTTTTCTCTTCGGGAAGGAAATAAAATCAGCTGGAACTGAACCCTACAACCTGCCTCCTCTCGCCCTCATTGCCGCCCTCCGCGGCCGCGCTCGCACCGCGCAGCTCCTCCAGAAAAGCCCTTCTAGGGGGTGGGATGGGGGGTGGAGGGGGAAGGTCCCCGCGTGCCCTGGACGAGATTTTTTTGGCTCTCTTTCGCCCTCGGGGTTTTGCATGAGACGCCCCCAAAGCCCCGGGTGTGGGGGCGGCCCGGGGGGGTCCCTGCCCTGGGGCTCCCCATGGGGCTCCGCAGCCTGACCCGGTTCGAGCCTCGGCGGTACCTGCTGCTGATTTACCCTTCTCCTCCTGCCCAAGAACATGGATTGCACCTTGAATGGTGTTTTGTAAACCGATTAAAATATCCCACTGACATAATAGTTTCACTTAGCTGCTAATTCAGAGCTGGCCTGGAGCCATAGATTATCTCTCTCTTTTTTTTCCCCCCACTTGTATAGGGCACAACAAACCAAAGAGAAAAGTTGCAAGGGCCGCTTTGCAAAGCCTAAGTGGTTAATGTTTGCCCCACATTATCCCGATGAATCCCTGCCTTGTATTTGTGATGCAAAACCTCCCATCCACGCATCTGCATGCGCTGGGAGTTTCCTGGTTAGGTCCTTTGCATGTAGCTCTTTCCATGGCAGGGCCATTTGCAAATCAAATGAGAAGCCTCCAGCCACCCAATTTCCCTGGGATCTGACGCCCGGCGGGGACCCTGGGAAGGCGATGCAGAGGAAAGGGCAGCGCAGCCTAGGGCAAGGCTGGTGAGTGTCCCCATCTGGAGCACTGGTGCTAAGCGCTGCCAATAATTCATATATTAGCTCTGGGGGCTCAGCATAGACCCAAACAGGAGGGAAAAATTAAAATGACGTGAGTGGGGGGTGAGGAGATGGCGCTGGACTCACTTGCGAGCGCCCTGCTTGGGAAGCAGCCTGGCGGGCCAGGAGCCTGTTCCGCCTCCAGGCCCATTGGGAAGCAGCCCGGCCGGGAGCCTGTTCCACCTCCAGGCCCATTGTGTCTCAGCGAGATTTACCGTTGGCTGCAGTTGACTGGAGGGGTTTTATGGTTTCCTGCGTGCGCTGGTTTTGTTCTCAGTTATAATAAAGGCCAATATTGCCAAATGTATTGTTTCTCTGGGGACTCTTTGGTGACACATGTTTGTGCCTCTGCATAGCTAAGTGGGTCTACATATATTTATATATACACACACACCGCTACATATGTGCATATATATGTACATACGTTTCTACTTACATTTGAAATACGCAGGTGTTCCTTGCTCTCCGCAATATGGGGCTGAGCAAGTCTCTGACTAGAGGAAGTACATCAGACTAAGCCCCACAAGAATATATAGCTGAATACACTTCTGGGGTTTGTATAGATTAGAGTTTTCATTAAGGGGCATGTGATTGATTTTTGGAAGAAAAAGTAGCAGCCAATTAATAAATGCGAAGCCTAGTAAATTTATAGCGGATTTTTTTTAATGAAAATCTATGTAGGTCACAATCAGGTTTTAGAAATCACTACTCATGCCAGACTCCAGGTTCACCTCATGCGGGTTCCTGTCTTGGACGTGGGCCACAGTGACAGGTGCTGGTGGATTGCCACAACATCACGCAGCGATCGCTGTAGATGCTGTTTCCCTGCACCGCTACCCAGCTCTGGGCAACCCTGGCTGTCAGTCTGGGCAGCCGGGGAGCGCGGGGGAATCTCGCTGCAGAGCAAGAGGTGGAATGAAATCACGCATATCCTGCGGAGCCTTTATCTGGCCTCTGGTGATCAGCATTTCCAAGACTTCCCCAGCCAGGCCAGGGCACTGTCACTGTCCAGCCCCACTGATTTATTCTGAGCTCCTCAGGCCTCTCTACTTGCTTGTGGTCCCTGCAACGTCTTGTGGTAAAGCTGAGCACTTTCATTTGTGTGCTGAGTGAAAACAGAGTTTCTGTTTTCGATTTCAACCGCTGTAGACATAACTTAGTCTGTTCTTATACTGTGACAGCCTTGTCACCTCTCCAGCTTTTGCTATACCATCCATTTCTACAGCCCTTTGCCATTTTTCCATCAGCTCTCCTTGTGGTTCATAGGGTTAGGGAAGAGAATTCAACTAGAAGATTTAAATTACAAATCACCACAATAGGCTGCATAATATGTTGCATATGTCTCTAAAATTTCTTTTAACAGACCATGCTTGTTCATAAATCATTAACTCACCTACACAGTATATGAGGGCGGTTCACCTCAAGAATGCATTTATAATTTTATATCATGAAGCCTACCTGTCCTTTATGTAATTTCATCACCTTCCTTGTGAAGCAGCAAGCAGTGTGACTGTCCCTACAGTCTACACTGCATTTTCTCTCTTTTCCGAACCCAAAGTAGGTAATACTGGGAGCTGGGTGCTGCTGAGCAAGTGTTCTGC